CAAGAAAAACCTGCTGCTATTCTGCCAATGCTTAAGCACTTATGTTTCCTGTGATTTTTTTTTAATAGGGCTCTTCTCCCTCAGGAAGCAGCCAGTATGGTGGGCAGGTGAGTATATTCTCTTCCCATCCCATCACTCCTAACTCCTTCCCTGTACTGTCTGGATCAGGTCAGTTACTTGATGCTGAAAGATACATTCATTTGGCCATTTTACTGAGCTTAGATGGTAGAGATAATAGCAGCTAAAGTTGTTTCAGCAAGCTGAGCAAAAGAGTTGGTTACAAAGAATTACTGCTCTGTGTAAAATGTTCCTTTGAACATACTGTAATCGCTATACTGTATTTCACAACTGCTTTTTTAATTCAGAATAACAAGTTGCCGTTGTTTTGGTGTGCAGTAGGTAGCTTAACTTTTACCTCAGTTTTACTTTTTGTTCAACCAACATCCAAATAAGTTTGTCCTAAGTACTGCACAAATTGTCTCAAGACAGTGATGGAAGAATTTTTCACTCAGTTAACTGATGTTTGATTCACTTCTTACAGGGCTCTCAGTATTCTGGAGGCAGACAGTATGGCAAACCAGTAAGTAAAAAAATGTTAAGTTTACTTTTCTTTTTTTCTTATAAGCCTGTTAAAAATATTATATCCAGTTAGTTATGGACCAGACATTCTAAGAATTACTAAAATATACAAAGAGTGACACATGATTTACTTATCTGTGATAATCTCAACAAATACAAACACAATACTTTGCCAGAACCTGTAATTTTTCAGTTACCTTCCTTAATTAAAGCTTTCTTCAAGTAGGGCTATAGAGTAAAGGATTCTAACATTTACCTTCTCCCACCTACCAAATCTAACTGTAGACTGATTCCAGGTGAATTAATGTTTATTTGGACCTTATTATTTTTTCCTTTCTGTATATTAAATACTTTGTAACTACAAAACAGCTCTTTCTTCTTGGAAGCTTTGAATTAAGTTCTCTAATAGATCATTCAAAAGAATACTTGTAACAGAAAGATGTTAAATATTTGTATTTCATATAAGCTTTTCCCTGGGAGTTTTGGATGACTGGACACAAAATAGCGTTCATTCTCCTGTTGTTCTTTATTCCAGATAGCAAGAATATACTGAAGTACAGATAGGCTTAGAGTTTAAAAGCAGGTATCTTTTTTCAGGGTCCATCTTCCTCAGGAGGCAGTTATCAAGGAAAGCCAGTAAGGACATTATTCTTTCAGTATTTTGCAGCCAAGTTAGAAAAGTGGATATTGGTATTTAAAATAGGTAGCAATAATGAGGCTGAAATTTAAAATTATCTTGCAATGGTAAATATCTGAGAAAATCGACGAATAAAAATTGGGATATGATGTTCAAACTTGAACCTTAGGATGAGGCAGAATTCACTCCTCCCATAGCAAAGTTTTTATACACTCTGTTACTCATAGGAACATGCTTGGATCATTCTACTAAGAGTGATGTATATAAATATCAAAATAACTGTTTCAGTTCCAGACTTTAGCTCAGCCAGTGATACATTGCTTTGAAAATCCTCTGAAACTTCATGGAATAAAGAGGACACAGCTGTGCTTACTTGAGACCATTCCATTAAAATAGGGGGAAGAGTGCAAGTAAAAAAGTAAAATCAAAGTCAGTATTAAAACCACTAATATCTAGGGCATTTTCAAGACTGCTGTATGCTCTTTGGACACAATTCACTAGGGGCCTCATACAACAAAAATAAATGGTTTATAATTATCTTACAGGGCTCCTCTAACCCAGGAAGCACTTATTCTGGGAAACCGGTAAGAATACTTTTGTCACAGCATTTTCATTTTCTTTTCTTAGTAAAGAACTGGGGTGGTTGATAGAGCAATTTTGGGATGACTTGGTCTGAAGAGAACATTCTTTATTAGTTCCATTTGTATTAGAGAGTATTTAAAGAAACTGCTACGGAAAATACGGCCTCAGCCTGGGAAAGTTACAGCAATTACAGTTATACTTTAAATCTGAATCTGCCTTGCTTCATATTCTAGTTCATGGCCCTGTTACATTTTGCTGTCCTCTATTTAAATTCCTGTTCTCTGTGTAGATTTTTATAGGCTCTGCTCAGTTAATCCTTCATTTTTTTTATGAGCTAGGTTGTTGAATTTTTCACTGGCAAGTTACCTGGTTTTGCACTTGTCCTTTTTTTTTTTCCAGTACTCGTCAATTTTTAACGTATTCTTTCAACTATAGGGATGGAAAACTATAGGTATGGAATTTGATAATGGAATGAGAGAAAAAATAGACTCTTGCCCTTTCATCAGTTTTAGCTGAAATTTTCAGATGTAAGATGAGATAAGTGTGTAACTGAAGCTATTTCTCTATGGAAAGCTATTTTCCTCTTGCACTTAAAACCGTGCCATGGGTTAAGGTATTAAAATCTTGTTGTTCACAAGCAAAACTGCTCAAAACCATTTGGTGAGAACACTTCTAGATTTATTTCTTTCTTTCTTTTCAGAATTCCCCTTCCTCAGGCGGCAGTCAAGTGGTGAGCACTTCTCCTCTTTGTAGTTTCTACTGGTTTCTTTCTATGCATATTGTAGAAAACTGAAAGTATCGTTGATCCTGTATCTGCCAGAATTCCTGTATTTGAATAAATGCTTGAGAATACACGTGCAATATAATAAATGGGAATAGTATCAACAGAAATAAGGAAAAGTGAGACCACGTAAGTGCTTCATGCTTTAGATCCTGCCCATTACTTGAAAACTGAGCAACTGTTGATTTATGTGTACTATAGAAGTGGCACATGATCTTTTAACATCAGAAATGTCTGTATAACAGAAGGGAGCTAGTAGGAAAAAATTTATCTGAAACTTTCTATGCCTTTATAATAGTAATAATTTGAACTGGGTTTATCAAATTGGGTTTTGGTTGTTGATTTTTTTATTTATTTATCTTTTTAGAGCTCTGCTGGGAAACACTCCACTCCACACCTCCTGCTGTTATTCAGCGTTTTGAGTGCCTTTGCTCTTTCTGCTGCTACATCAAAATGGTCTATATGAACTTCTGAAGAGTTGCTTGGCATCCTAGACGTGGATTTTATTCAGTAATATTAGATTAATTACTTGATATAAGAAAAAAAAATCCTTAAGTCAAATTGGCAGATGCTCCTTGGCTGTTACGCTGTATGTCTAGCTCGTATGTCATGCCTCTCATTAGTTTACCTTTGGTTTTAGTCATTAGTAGATATCATTAGCTTTGTCAGTGTTTTAGGCATCATTTTAAGAAAGCACATTCTACCCTAACTATATGATTTATTTTTATTTTTGTTTACAATGGGGAATGCAATGAACCTGAAATCTGGTTGGTGTGACAAACACTTAGAAAATACTCGGTTTTTAAGCAAAATGGAGGAGATCAAACAAATCATTGTATATGCAAACTGAGTGCTGTGCCTGGTCCTCATTGCATAAAATAAGGGTAATATAAACATCTGATATGCAGTCCTCCATGGGACAGAAGATGCTAAAATAATATCAAAGTACTGGTTTTCGTCTATTGTAATCAAATGCAAGTTCAATATGGAGGTTGGAAAGAAAAACAAACAAGCAAACAGACAAAAAAACCCCAAAGAAACTCGATGGTACCAAAATTTTTGGAGCTTGATTAAAGTTTATTCATTAGAGAAGCCAAAAAGCTCAGAGCAAAGAAATGCTGAAGTCTGTTCAACCTGATTGCAAATACTCTAGAGAAGCATATGAGACAGTGCGCCCCAGATTAGGCTGATAGTCTAAAAGCTGCTGAAAAACAATACATTTTCTCTTGGGACGGAATGGAAAATTAATTAAGTTCATAAAACTGATAGCATCTTGGCTCTTTTTCTCAAGTATTTAGTCTAACCTGCGATACCTGATACATCTGCAAGTTTCATTTCTAAAATTATGCTGACATCTGCAAGCAGGTACAGTAAATGTGGTCACAGAAAGATCATGGCCCATTTTTGGAGTTCAGGAGCAGTTGCACATCTCGCAGCAAACTCTTCTGGAGCTGCCAGAGGTGCCTTCCGTGTGTGTGTAGTGACCATTGCTCTGGCACCTGGTTAGGAGTGGTGTGTCCATTGCACCGCTGCTCCTGCAGCTCCTGCAGCTCCTGCATCAGCGTTAGCCGTGGGCTTCACTCGAGTGATGTTAACAAAGTGCATTCTCCTAAATACTTCTAATTAACGTCTGACTGAACATGTGCCTGGTATTAAAATTGTGTTTCCTAGTAGCATGCTTGTCTCCTATGATCTACAGTTGTAATTGATGAAATATGTTGCCATTCAAGTTCTGCTACCAGCTTCAGTGGGACCAGGATTTCACCTGAGGACGCACTATCCTTTGCCTGCCATCAGTTTCTGAAGCTGTAATTGAAGAATAAAGGAGTGTTGCTTAAGCGCGATCTTCAACATTTGGTGGACAATTTGGTTCTCTGCGAGAGGTCCGTATCTGAATCCGAACTAGCCTTGCACTCCTTTAATAAATTTATCATGGATTTCATATAAAACGATCGTGTCCTTCACTGCAGGAACACCCCTATTCAACGGCATTTTTCGGTCCCTTGGAGCGGCGCTGACGGGAGGGTGGCTGCCTGTGGCGGCCGCTCACGCAGCCCCCTCCCCAGC